AGTGACACAGTGGGGACAGGGACAGTGTCACTGTGGGGCACAGGGGATCGTCCCCTCAACCGGACCGGAGGGATGGTGACACAGTGGCAGTGGGGTGACACCGCAGGGACGGGGTATTGTCAGCTCAACTGAAGGGATGGTGACACCTTGGGGACAGGGACAGTGTCACCTCAACCAGGATGGTGACACAGCGAGCACAGGACAAATGCCACCACCGCAGGGGACGGGACAGTGATCTCCATGACCCCAGTGGCCGCAGAACCAGTGCCACCACGAGGAGTTGGGGGGGGGGAAACACGGGGGGGGGACGTCGTGTCCCCCCCCTCAGGACCAGGAAGGTGACATCGTGGTGATGTCACCCGTGGGGACACTGGCGTCACCTGGTCGCTTCTCGTAGTCGCTCTCGGCCATCTCGTACTTCTCCACCTGCGAGACGTCCTCGTACTCCCCGATGCGCGCCCCGCTCCGGTCGATCACCTGCATGCCCCGTTATTGGGGGGGGCGGGGCCAGAGTTATCGCAGGGTGCCCCCCCCATCCATTTTGGGGTGAAAAAGGAGGGAAAAGGGGGTGCGTCAGCACCAAGCAGGGCTGTGGGGCTGGGGTTGGGATCAATGCATGGGGGGGTGAGCAATGCACGGCGTGCAGGTGTGCAATGCACGGGGTGTGTGTGAGCAAGGCACGGGGTGTGTGTGAGCAATGCACAGGGTGCAGGTGTGCAATGCACGGGGTGTGTGTGAGCAATGCACAGGGTGCAGGTGTGCAATGCACGGAGTGCATGTGAGCAATGCACGGGGTGCAGGTGTGCAAGGCACGGGGGGGTGCGTGCAATGCTCGGGGTGCAGGTGTGCAATGCACGGGGTGTGTGTGAGCAATGCACGGGTGCAGGTGTGCAATGCATGGGGGGGTGAGCAATGCACGGCGTGCAGGTGTGCAATGCACGGGGTGTGTGTGAGCAAGGCACGGGGTGTGTGTGAGCAATGCACAGGGTGCAGGTGTGCAATGCACGGGGTGTGTGTGAGCAATGCACAGGGTGCAGGTGTGCAATGCACGGAGTGCATGTGAGCAATGCACGGGGTGCAGGTGTGCAAGGCACGGGGGGGTGCGTGCAATGCTCGGGGTGCAGGTGTGCAATGCACGGGGTGTGTGTGAGCAATGCACGGGTGCAGGTGTGCAATGCATGGGGGGGTGAGCAATGCACGGCGTGCAGGTGTGCAATGCACGGGGTGTGTGTGAGCAAGGCACGGGGTGTGTGTGAGCAATGCACAGGGTGCAGGTGTGCAATGCACGGGGTGTGTGTGAGCAATGCACAGGGTGCAGGTGTGCAATGCACGGAGTGCATGTGAGCAATGCACGGGGTGCAGGTGTGCAAGGCACGGGGGGGTGCGTGCAATGCTCGGGGTGCAGGTGTGCAATGCACGGGGTGTGTGTGAGCAATGCACGGGTGCAGGTGTGCAATGCATGGGGGGGTGAGCAATGCACGGCGTGCAGGTGTGCAATGCACGGGGTGTGTGTGAGCAAGGCACGGGGTGTGTGTGAGCAATGCACAGGGTGCAGGTGTGCAATGCACGGGGTGTGTGTGAGCAATGCACAGGGTGCAGGTGTGCAATGCACGGAGTGCATGTGAGCAATGCACGGGGTGCAGGTGTGCAAGGCACGGGGGGGTGCGTGCAATGCTCGGGGTGCAGGTGTGCAATGCACGGGGTGTGTGTGAGCAATGCACGGGTGCAGGTGTGCAATGCATGGGGGGGTGAGCAATGCACGGCGTGCAGGTGTGCAATGCACGGGGTGTGTGTGAGCAAGGCACGGGGTGTGTGTGAGCAATGCACAGGGTGCAGGTGTGCAATGCACGGGGTGTGTGTGAGCAATGCACAGGGTGCAGGTGTGCAATGCACGGAGTGCATGTGAGCAATGCACGGGGTGCAGGTGTGCAAGGCACGGGGGGGTGCGTGCAATGCTCGGGGTGCAGGTGTGCAATGCACGGGGTGTGTGTGAGCAATGCACGGGTGCAGGTGTGCAATGCATGGGGGGGTGAGCAATGCACGGCGTGCAGGTGTGCAATGCACGGGGTGTGTGTGAGCAAGGCACGGGGTGTGTGTGAGCAATGCACAGGGTGCAGGTGTGCAATGCACGGGGTGTGTGTGAGCAATGCACAGGGTGCAGGTGTGCAATGCACGGAGTGCATGTGAGCAATGCACGGGGTGCAGGTGTGCAAGGCACGGGGGGGTGCGTGCAATGCTCGGGGTGCAGGTGTGCAATGCACGGGGTGTGTGTGAGCAATGCACGGGTGCAGGTGTGCAATGCATGGGGGGGTGAGCAATGCACGGCGTGCAGGTGTGCAATGCACGGGGTGTGTGTGAGCAAGGCACGGGGTGTGTGTGAGCAATGCACAGGGTGCAGGTGTGCAATGCACGGGGTGTGTGTGAGCAATGCACAGGGTGCAGGTGTGCAATGCACGGAGTGCATGTGAGCAATGCACGGGGTGCAGGTGTGCAAGGCACGGGGGGGTGCGTGCAATGCTCGGGGTGCAGGTGTGCAATGCACGGGGTGTGTGTGAGCAATGCACGGGTGCAGGTGTGCAATGCATGGGGGGGTGAGCAATGCACGGCGTGCAGGTGTGCAATGCACGGGGTGTGTGTGAGCAAGGCACGGGGTGTGTGTGAGCAATGCACAGGGTGCAGGTGTGCAATGCACGGGGTGTGTGTGAGCAATGCACAGGGTGCAGGTGTGCAATGCACGGAGTGCATGTGAGCAATGCACGGGGTGCAGGTGTGCAAGGCACGGGGGGGTGCGTGCAATGCTCGGGGTGCAGGTGTGCAATGCACGGGGTGTGTGTGAGCAATGCACGGGTGCAGGTGTGCAATGCATGGGGGGGTGAGCAATGCACGGCGTGCAGGTGTGCAATGCACGGGGTGTGTGTGAGCAAGGCACGGGGTGTGTGTGAGCAATGCACAGGGTGCAGGTGTGCAATGCACGGGGTGTGTGTGAGCAATGCACAGGGTGCAGGTGTGCAATGCACGGAGTGCATGTGAGCAATGCACGGGGTGCAGGTGTGCAAGGCACGGGGGGGTGCGTGCAATGCTCGGGGTGCAGGTGTGCAATGCACGGGGTGTGTGTGAGCAATGCACGGGTGCAGGTGTGCAATGCATGGGGGGGTGAGCAATGCACGGCGTGCAGGTGTGCAATGCACGGGGTGTGTGTGAGCAAGGCACGGGGTGTGTGTGAGCAATGCACAGGGTGCAGGTGTGCAATGCACGGGGTGTGTGTGAGCAATGCACAGGGTGCAGGTGTGCAATGCACGGAGTGCATGTGAGCAATGCACGGGGTGCAGGTGTGCAAGGCACGGGGGGGTGCGAGCAATGCACGGGGTGCAGGTGTGCAATGCACGGGGAGTGTGTGAGCAATGCACGGGGTGCAGGTGTGCAATGCATGGGGGGGGTGAGCAATGCACGGGGGGTTCAGGTGTGCAATGCACGGGGGGTG